GCATTTTTAAAATTAAGATGTCAAAATCTAATTGAACTTGAAACTAGGAGTGTTAGCACTACTGTAATGATCTCCTTATGGGTTTTACCTGAACAAACACCTTAAACCTTCATCTTTCAGTTTTAATGTGGTTTCTGTTCTTTGACAGGCACTCACATCACTCCTTTTTGTGACGCCAGCTTTGACTGATGTTAACAAGAAACATTTAAATCCCCCGAAGCTCCAGATCTGTTACTTTTCCACCTGCAGTCTGACTCTGTGTTTGTAGTGTCATCAGAACAGAAATCTGATTCTGTTTGAGCCTGGATAAAACTGACATTTCATCCAAACAAGACGATCCAAGGAGAAGAAATCCTGACGAGCAGCGCTGGTGTCCTCATCTTACAGGTAATCTTGATGAGCCCCCAAGGGCACCACTAAGTGTGGGGGATGACCACCTCTGAATGACACAAAAATACACCCTTAAAGCTGATTTATACTTCCATTCTCACATCTTGCATGAAGGAAATTGCATAACTTCCACCTGTTATATCCCGCTGACACTATCTTGATCACAGACCCATGTGGTTTGTACTGTAGTGATTGGTCAGACATTTGTGGGCGTGTTTGTTTATGTGGAGCAGAACATCCTTCTGCTCGTCATTTTTGATGAAAATAGTCTGCTCCCGGAAGCCAGTTGTTAAATTAGCCAGATGGAACGTCAAACCTTCCCATCTCTGCGGTCAACAAGGAAAATAAAAACGAGTATCCTCCAGCTCCTCATCCAACAACACAAGCCTCTCTTTCAACGTCTGATACATCAAGTGAAAAACTACTATCCTGCTATTGTTGGGTCTGTAACCTTGCCCAGAACTGAAGACATCTAATCAGCATGCCTGCTCAAGCAGATGAAGAGTATTTCAAAAGCCCTTTTACATCCAGGACGCTGCCACTTTACATCAGAATCATGATTCTTATTTACAAAGATTCAGAATTGATTTAAAATGTCCCAAAATCCATTAAAATTTATTTTTTATCAAATCCAATGTCTGTCAGCCTCCATGTTGTAACTGCATGTGACATCCTGACGTCACCACGCAGCTGGTTCTGGAACATATGCATGCACAGAAAGCACCAAAACAAAGAGGAAACTACTAAACTGGAAGAAAGAGAGATTCAACCAGCCCCATCTTCATAGAAGGCAAAGATTTGGGCTCATTTTGTTTTTTTGTTTTTTTAATTGAATGAGTTTGACACGAGCTTCACGGTGTGCGAGGTTTGCTAAATGAAGATGAAGCACTTTGGGAACATGACCAATGGACACACATTATTAGTTTTGAATGAAAAATAGATTTTGAATTGAACCGTGGCCCCAAAACTCAGTATCGGATCAAATTGTGAGAAAGTAAATGATTCCCACCTCTGCCAACCGGCTCACAAACAGTTTCTTCCCTCGCGCTGTGCCCAGCAGGGGACAGCCACGCTGTTAAGGAGCGATTAAAGATTAAAAACTGGAATCCTGAAATTCATTGACTTTAAAACTTATAGAATGTATTGCTTTTAACTATGTCTGCTAATTTAACTGAAATATTTATAGTTTGAGAAATTTTGCACTGTGCTTTGTTATCTGACATACTGCTGCCAACAACATTTCATTGTACTGCCTTGGGCATAGAAAGTTCTATAAACCTTAAACCTACATGGTGTATGTTGTTAATAAATAAACCATTTACAAATATTTAGATGTGTTTGAGTTGTAACATATTTGCAATATTAAGTGATTAAAAAGATCTGTAGGTGAAAAACACGATGTGACCAAGATCATAAAGCACATCAGCATATATAGCGGGTAAAATAAGTATTGAACACATCAACATTTTTCTCAGTAAATATATTACTAGAGGTGCTAATGACATGAAATTTTCACCAGATGTCGGTAACAACCCAAGTGATCCATACATACAAAGAAACCATAAATGTCCAGAATTGAAGTTATTTGTAATAATGTGGAATGGCACAGGGGAAAAAAGTATTGAACACATCAACATTTTTCTCAGTAAATATATTACTAGAGGTGCTAATGACATGAAATTTTCACCAGATGTCGGTAACAACCCAAGTGATCCATACATAAAGAAACCATAAATGTCCAGAATTGAAGTTATTTGTAATAATGTGGAATGGCACAGGGGAAAAAAGTATTGAACACATCAACATTTTTCTCAGTAAATATATTACTAGAGGTGCTAATGACATGAAATTTTCACCAGATGTCGGTAACAACCCAGGTGATCCATACATAAAGAAACCATAAATGTCCAGAATTGAAGTTATTTGTAATAATGTGGAATGGCACAGGGGAAAAAAGTATTGA